CAAATGCCTCAAGAGAGCTTTAGATTATAGATCATTTTTCCATGAGCAATTGATACATTTTGCATACACAACTACATACCAAGTTTCAGTTCTCTCCCACAAATACTTCCAGAGATATGTATGTAATATGAAAATTCCAATTTGTATGGGAGGGGCCTTGAGTTATCCGACTTACTTTCAGTCTAAGACCATCCTTCCGAAACCCGCAGTAATTGTACTAAATTCATAAACCATCTTTGAACAAAATTTCATTTTCAAACAGGTGGCAATTCTGAAAAAAGTAGCCTATTTGCCAGTCTAGGTCATAAGCTATCTGTGTGGAAACTTTCATGCAAATCAGTTTTAATTAAACTTTCCTAATACGTGATAACTCTTAAAATAGTAGACTATTTTCCAACATAGGTCATAAGCTATCTCTGTGCGAAATGTGATGCAGGCCCCTATTGCGAGTGTCGACTGGCAGTAGAATAGAAATTTGTCGATCGAGTCGATCATCTTTTATTTTGCTATTGTGTAACTTGATCGATAAAAATTTTTACTATTGTGAATGGTTGACAGAATTGTAAACAGCTGTTTGTTTGTTTACATTTGTTTCCTGAGTGTTTTACTTACATCATTTTTAAAATAATTGCTTTTATTATAAAATTAAAAAAATGGACACAGTTGAAATATGGTTTAGTGAAGAGGAAGATGATGCGGAAGCTAATAGATTAGTAGAGTTAGCTAAAGCAAGGAGGGAATTGCGAGATTCGTCGGATCCCTTGGACTTGGAAGGTGTATGTACATGTGTGAGTTTTATGAATAGAAGTTGCGTTCCCGATGCTTCACAGTTTTTAGGCTTTACATGATTTGCAGGAAAAGCTGTTTTCCTCATTAATAAACTTTATGGAAGTTTAAGAAATACGGTACGGTTAAGTTTTTTGTACAATGATGTTGGGTCTTTGTGTCCAAACGCGTGACCCGAGTTTAAAAACTTTAACATAACAACATAACAAGTGTATTGAAAGAATTCAACTTTAATTTAAAATAAAGATTTCAAATTTCCGAGCACTAGTCAATTAATAAATTATGCAGTTTTTTTGTATAAACTTTTGATGTTGGCTCTGCGCAAAAACACTGTGGATGGCGTAACCGGAGTTATATGCACAAGAAATATCTTTCCAATAGAAGCGGAGCTTCCTACCCTACTCTTTCCGAAAATTCCTTTGCCCATGTCTTCACTCTCCTGCATCAGTACGAACAACCGCGCAAGTTGCCTTTTGTTGCTTATAATTTTTGATCTGTAATTCAGACACATACATGCATATGTATATTTCACAATTTTTACAACTTCCAGTTCAATTGACTTACTTTTTATCCATTATAGTACCACCTTCTTATGTAAATTTTATAAACTCCAACGACTAAAAAACAGCAATAGAAGGATGAGCGATTAAAAAGTATTCACAGTCGCTAATTGAGCGACTAATACTAGGTTCACATATAAGTAGATTATCCTCATTTTCGAGCTTAACACCCTAATCTGTAATTATAACAAGAGATTAGCCGTATAAAATTCGTCCCTTGTTAATCTGTAATTATAAAATAATCTCAGATTTAACCGATAACTTTTCGGTGTCCATCCTAGTTTTATCGATTGTTTTTGCGAAAGAGAGGAGAAATGCCAAATGTAAAAGTAAACAAAAATGTACGCTAGCAAGTAAAAGAGGTTTGTAAAGGTATTTTTAATAAAATGTTAAGTTAAAATATATTTATATTGCTTATTATAGCAGAAAAACGTGATCACGGTGGCACAGAGAAGAAACATAAATTTTCCTTGAGATGTGGGAATAACAAGCACAACAAATTTGACGGCTAATAATCTGAGATTTGCCTGTGTAAACGGGGTGATTAAAAAACTAGCTTTGATTGAGATAATATTGATATGTGAACATAGTTTAAGCGACACTCGCAATAGCATCGATAATCGATAATCGCTTAATAGTCGTTTATTTACTGCCAATCGACATTCGCAATAGGGGTGGCAGTTCTGTTCAGTCGTTTCCGCGTTTTAATCTAATTAAAATTGTTTAACAGGTGGCAGCTCTCCCAAAAAATTAGCCTATTTTCCACTGTAGGTCATAAGCTATCTGCTTGCAAAATTTCATGCAAATCCGTTCAGACTTTTCCGCGTATTAATTTAATTAACCTTTTTAGCAGGTGCTAACTCTTAAAAAAAAAGTAGCCTATTTTTCAACCTAGCTCATAAGCTATCTGTGTGAAAACTTCCATGCAAATCAGTTCACTCATTTCCGCGTATTAATTAAATTAAACATTTCTTACAGGTGGCAACTCTTAAAAAAGTAGCCTACTTTCTAACCTAGGTCATAAGCTATCTGTGTGCGAAATTTCATGCAAATCCGTTTAGTCGTTTCCGCGTATTAATGTAATTAAACCTTTTGAACAGGTGGCAACTCTTCCAAAAAATTAGCCTATTTTCCACTGTAGGTCATAAGCTCTATGCTTGCAAAATTTCATGCAAATCCGTTCAGAGTTTTCCGCGTATTAATTTAATTAAACTTTTTCGCAGGTGGTAACTCTTAAAAAACGTAGCCTATTTTTCAACCTAGCTCATAGGCTATCTGTGTGAAAACCTCCATGCAAATCAATTCACTCATTTCGGCGTATTAATTAAATTAAACGTTTCTAACAGGTGGCAACTCTTAAAAAGTAGCCTACTTTCTAACCTAGGTCATAAGCTATCTGTGTGCAAAATTTCATGGAAATCCGTTTAATCGGTTCCGCGTATGAACTTAATTAAACCTTTTTAACAGGTGGCAACTCTTCCAAAACATTAGCCTATTTTCTACTGTAGGTCATAAGCCATCTGCTTGCAAAATTTCACGTAAATCCATTCAGTCGTTTCCGCGTATTAATTTATTGAAACTTTTTTAACAGGTGGCAACTCTTAAGAAAAGTAGCCTATCTTCACGTGCAGGAAAATCTCGCTTGCGTGACGACGCATGCAAGAAACCGCACGTGTAGACCGCAAAAGGTACGAAGCATGCTTTTTCTCGCATACCGAGCGGTATGTGAGCTCTCGCTTGCTTTCAACTGTCATTTTTGTTATTTGACAGCTGTGTTCTCATTTCGCAGAATTCTTTAGAGTAGCATCATCGTACTAATTTAGAGGCAGCCATTTTTCATTTGAAAATAGAATACATCTCTTTATGCAGATTTTCTAATTTTCTCAAACTTTTAAGGCATGAACCAAGGCAAATTTATATAAGGTGGTGTTACTAGCTCAGCTGATTTTGTGTATGTGTTTCGCCGCACGGTTTCTGATATCACATTGAAAAATTTTGTTTGAATTTCTACACACACTCTTACAGATTTTGACAGTTCATGCCGCCAAAGCAAAAACAACATACATGTAAATTTTTGTTTTTGTACTCCTGCTAACACCTTATATTAATTCGCCTTGGCATGAACCTTCTTGTTTGGCGACATTTTACAAATGAAATGCTGTCAAATGCCCAGTCAACAAAACTCTATCTCGCTTGCGAGAGAAAAAAGCAGAACGCAAGCGAGATTTTCAAGCATGTGAAGACGGCCGGTAATCTAGGTCATAAGCTATCTGTGTGCAAATTTTCATGCAAATCCATTCAGTCGTTCCCGCATATTATACCATGTTCTGACCGACACCGAAAACACCTTGAAACGAGTTTTGGGATTGTGGGCTGAAGGCTGTTCACACCGACTGTTGGTGTTTTCGTTGACATTTCTTTCATCCTTTGTTTACAGTTTTGCTACACAAAAACAAAACCAAAATACTTTTCCTTCAATTCTTTTCATTAACAACCTTTTACTTCCATGCTTACTTTATTTTGGCCAGCCAATCCGAAATGACGTATTAAAGATGATAAAATATGACTTCCACTTCGATAAATAATCGAAAAAACCAGTACAGACACCGATTGGAATCAGTGGAACGTGAGTTTCAAAGTGGTTTTCAGCGAAAACAAGTTTTCGTTTGACAGATTTTACATGGACGAAAACTCAAGTTTTAGGTCGAAAACCAGTTTCAGCAACGAAAACATGTTTTCGATGGCAGTCTGAACATTATATAAGAGAACGTTAAAAACATTACGTTTTTCCATGATAAAAAACCGTATCTGACTGTATGAACGGGGTGATTTATAAACGAGCTTTAATTGAGAACGAGCTTTACTTGAGAAACGTACTTTTGGTATTACTTTTTGTATTAAAAATCTCAATAGCTTTTTAAGCCCGATTTATATTCCTTTCGATAACCACGCAAAAATCGATTTATGTGCCACATATTTAGAAAATAAAGGCGCCGGGCCACGTATTTGTCAAGTTTCCTACGCAAAGTTGACATTCCATATCCCTACGAAAAGCGAAGTGTTTTATAAACAAGTAATTGATGATTAGCACTGAAAAAATGTAATCTTAATATATATTATAACAAAAATCTCATTCCAGATAAAATGGAGACTATGCAACGATATGTTTCACCCGTGAATCCAGCTGTATTTCCGCATTTGGCCACGGTGTTGTTGACAATAGGCACCTTCTTCACAGCCTGGTTCTTCGTGTTTGTAGTGTCACGCCCAAGGAGCTCAAAAGAAAGTACACTGTTCAAGGAACTTTCCATAAGCCTGTGCGCTTCAATTTTTCTCGGATTCGGGGTAGTTTTTCTCATGTTATCAGTTGGAATATACATATAAGTTTGCAATGTTAGATTTGTCGCCGTGGCCGCTCAATAAAGATATCCCGATTGAAACACATTCTGTAGAATTATTTTCAAGCAAACGTAGTGTTACTATGTATTTTATTATTTTACATTTTGTTGGAAAAACTTGGTAAATAAAATTAATTAAACACTAGATGCATGTAAGTGCAAAAACTTTAGAGAAATCAACATCAGCAGTTATGTATAGAGATTTTGACTTTTTTAAATGTTTCTCCCGACACTGAATTGCTTACTCATCTTCGTGTTTATTTGAATGATGCAACTTTTGTATATTTATATCTGATAATATTCATTGATTAGCTTGTCCAATAACTAATTCCAATACACATATTTAATTCTCATTTTTATACGATTCCACGTTTAAGGGCTTCAACAAGTTAGTCTTCCGTATATGATTTTGTTCTGTACGACTTTAAGCTATTTAACCAGCCAGTCCAGCTTTTTGCCTGCACTTCTGCATAATAGCGCGTAGCATAAATTGCTTACGAGATAATTGGCGTACATGCTTCAAAAAGGTTTCCAAGTCAATGACACCACTTCGTAAGGCCTCACCCAAATAGTAAATTGCGTCCTCAAGCGCCGATTCTTCAGCGTATGCATTCAGTAGTCTGTAGTGGAAGCAAAATCAAATTTTTTTAAGTTGGCTACGTTTATACATTTGTGTACATACTGTCTGTATAGAGGCGCTGTTGTGGTGACAGCTTCATCTGGATCAATACCATCCGACTTCTCCAAGGCCTCTAAACTCTTCTCAAGCTCTTGCTCCTTATCACGTAATATATTAATATTCTTTTGCAGCTCGACCTGAATTAAAAATTACTTACTAATCTCAAAGCGAGCACTATTTTACATGTGGTCTTACTTCCTCTCTATTAAGACGCGCAATAACATTATCAATTTTCGAGCTACCCTCTACCAATTCCTGCTTGGTACGGTTAAGTGTTTCAATTTCAGCTTGATATTGATTTACTTTCTCTTGTAGACGGCGACGTAATTTGTCTTCGACTGCGCTAATTAGCGAGGCCTTAATATGTTCCTCAGTAATGGTACCAGTTGAACTTGGCGTTGAAGAATTCTAAGATATAAATGAACAATTTAATTCATTTAAGTTGAATACAAGTTTGAACAATATGGTTCAGATTTACATAGCCAGAATTGTAGCCAGGAACTTGCGGAAAGCTCATATACGGTGGATACCCGCCAGCACTTGCACCGGGGTTGGCAGCAGCTGGATTTCCCCCAGCTGGGTACGGCGGGTATGGTCCAAAGTTATTTCCTGGTTGATATGGCGGAAAATTTGCGCTTCCGCCAGCACCAGCGGTGGGATAAGGAGGATAGCCAGCACCACCTGGGGAAGGAAATGCTAAAAAAAAAATTTGAATCACATTTTAAATTTTATTAAATGCATTTATAATATGATTACCTGGATGTGGGTAGGGAGTCGTTTGATCTTTCGGTTTAGAAAATACTGGTGGATGATCACCAAAAGTTAATATCATTACTTGTATGAGGGAAAGTAAATCCGATGTGTGCTGAAAAATACATTTTTGTAAATATATTTAAAGCGAGTTTCTTATAGCGTTTTATATTTTTGATTGAATAAATTCAAGACAACTACACGTAATCTAAGTGTTTTAAATTATTGCCAAATCTCAATTGTTGAAAGTAAAATACAGACCCAACAATCATTTGTGCTTTTAAAAGTATCTCAAATTGACCTTGCGATAGGTATTAAGTGTTAAATAACGTTTTTTAGTATTATGTTTATTTTAAAGTGTTTAGAGCGAATATTTATAAATCACTATGTGCATGTTTATTTTAGTAAACTTTTAAAAAACCTAATTTAAGTTGATTATGCTTGTTGGGACTTAATAGAGATACAAATGTTTTTGGCCCTTCTAATTGGGTAAATTACTCGCCGTACAGAAGCTATTGGAATAATTTTCACTTACCGGTTGCCAGTCGTGCAAGTATGGCAAGTAGATTTTTCCATTATGATCCACGTACATTGATACCTTAATTTGCATTGTTGGTGTTGGCCTCACAAAGCACATAGGTGCGTTTTGGGGATGTGTGTCCATTAACCATATAATTATGGGAATGTAGTAAGTGTTATCTACGAGAATCCCAATGTATGTTATCATAATATACACGGTACTTTAGAAACTATTAGAACATTTTGAGAACTTACTTTTGTAGACAACCGGTATAGTTCCAGCCAAATTAAAGAGATCCTTTGAACTTCCATCGTTAAAAACTAAATAAAAATGTAAAACGAGAATGCAGGAAAAGTGCATATAAAAACTTAATCTGTATGTATATGTACTAGAAAACTAGTGCAATGTTAAGGCAACACCCATTCCTACTCAACTTACCAAATTTCTGCAAATTGTAAGACAATGACCGATAATTGGTAACTACGTCAATGACATCTTTTTTTGTGACGCTTATGTTTTTGTACTACGAAAAATTAATTATTTGTTTAGTTTCTACTGCTACAGGTTGAAAATAAGAGCAAATATTCTGGGAATAACCCACCCTGGATAATAGCTTGGAAATCTGCGCCTCCTCCGCAGCGGGCATCATTTTGTATTTGTGTTGAATTATTTAAACTTTTCTTCCAATTATATTCGTAATTTATTTGTAATAAATTTAATATAATAACAATTAAAATTAAACACTTGATATAATTCCGAACTAAAAGTTTTTCTTTTGTTCGTCTTTTGACGTTTAATGACTACATCCAGATATGACACATCCTTAGCATGGTGTTGCCACACTGCGCTTTTTTCGCTGTCAACCAAAAAAATATTGCTCAAATGAAAAAACAAACGGTGGGATGTGGACCGGAAGTGTTTGAGTTTCGAAAATTCAGCTGTGTCGCAGAATTGATTCCTTGTTGTTGTTGTTGTAGCGGCTACAACAACCCCGCCCAGATCGGTT